GCAGGTCGCGGAAGCGCTCCATGGCCTCCACGCGCCGGCCGCCCCAGTGCGCGGCCGCCGCGAGGAGCGCGTAGCGCGAGAGCGCGGCCTCCGCGGGCGCCGCGCCGAAGGGGTTCTCGCCCGGCGGCGCGAAGGCCGCGCCCGCCTCGCGCCGCGCCTCGCGGCCCTCGCGGAGGTAGACCGCCGTCGACGCGGCCGCGCGCGCCTCCCGGGCCGCGGCCTCGGCCGCGGCCCGCTTCGCGGCGTCGCGCGCGCCGCACTCCGCGAGCTCGACGGCGTCCGCGAAGCGGCGGCAGGCCCGGCGCGCGGCCGTCGTGTCCTCGAGCCAGGCGAAGGCCGCCTCGAGCGCGAGGCTCGGGAGCGGCCGCGGCTTCAGGGGCGCCGCGAGCGCCGCCTCGCCCCGCCTCCGCGAGTCGTCCGCGGATCTTTGGAAGTCGTAGGAGCCGTCCTCGTTGTAGAGGTTCGGCGCCTCGTCCGGCGGCGCGAGCCTCTTCTTGTAGGGCTCGAGCAGCGGCGCCAGGGCCTCGGCCTTGGCGAACCGCCGCCGCCACGGCTCCGGCAGGTCGCCGGGGACGTCGACGTCGCCGCGGGCGCCGAAGGAGAACCCGGGCGGCGGGCCCGGGTCGTCCGGCTCCTCCGGCGCGTCGGGGCGGCGCAGCGGCTCGGGGCCGTCGGCGTGCCGCTTGAGGACCTCGAGGGCCTCCGCGCCGGACGCGGCGAGGGCTTCGAGGACATCGCCGCCGGGCGCGTCCCGCGCCTCGGGCGGCCGCGTCGCCGACGCGGCGGCCGCGGCCGCGTCTGTCGCCGCGCGCGCGTCGGCGAGGGCCGCGGCGGCGGCGGCGTCGCGGCCCGGCGCGTCGCGCGCCCCCGCGAGCCTCCGCTCGACGTCCGCGGCGACGCGCGCGGACGCGCGGCGGAGCCTGGGCGGGACGCGGGCGATTCGGCGTCGCGTCGAGGTGTGGAGTTCCAGAAGAACGCATCCGCGCGTCGCGAACGCTCCGAGAGATGAGTGCTCGTCCAGAAATCGGCCGAAGCGAGCGGGAAACGACCGAGCTCGGAGCCTCCGAAGTCGGGAACGTCGCGCCCGCGTCCCGCCCCGGGCGGAGCGAGGCCCGCAGGCTCGACGCCGTCGCCTTCGCCGCGCCCCGGAGCGCCGCGCCCGTCTCGAGCTCGCGCGCCCGCCGCTGGGCGCCCGCGGCGGCGAAGCGCGCCGCGCCCACGACGCCGAACTTGGCCTTCCTCCACCGCCTCCGCGCCGCGGCGCCCGCGTCGAGCGCCGCGGCCGTGTCCTCGCGCCGCGCCTCGGCGTCGTCCAGGGGCGCGCCGGCCCGCAGCGCCGCCGCGGCGAGGAGCGCCCGCTCCTCGCCGACGGCCGCGTCCCAGTCCGCCGCCTCCCGCTCGTTCCCGGGGATCGTCAGCCGCGAGGCGATGGGCGCGCGGAGGAGCGCGGCGTGGAGCTCGCGCGCGGAGTCGTAGGCCTCGGGCGGCCGCGGCGCCTCGTCCTCGGGCGCCGCCGGCGGCGGCGGCGCGCCGCCGTCGGCGGCCGGCGGCGGCGGCGGCGGCGGCGGCGGCGGCCGGAGCGACCGGCGCGGGCTCGGCCCGGGCGGCGGCGGCGGCTGGCCCTTGACGAGGGGCCGCGCCGCCGCCGACGGCTTCGCGGCGCCGCCCTCGCTCGCGTCGACGCCCGCGTCCTCGCGCGCGGCCGCGGCCGCGACGGAGAAGGGCGACGGCGACGTTCGCGGCCGGTCGGCGGCCTCCGCGGGCGCGGGCGCCGCCGCGGCGCGGCCCGGAGCGTCGCGCCGTGGCCCGGGGACCGGGCGCGGGGCTCGTCGTCGGCCGGCGGCGCGGCGGCGCGCGGCGCCGCGGCGGCCGGCGGCGCGGCGGCGCGCGGCGGCGCGGCGGCGCGCGCCGACGGCCGCCGCGCGGGCTCGGCGTAGGCGAGGACGACGTCCTCGGGCCCGGCGCGCGACGCGAGGGAGGCCGCGGCCGCGTCGCCCTCGAGGCGCAGCGCGGGCCGGCCGCCCGGCGCCGCGACGACGACGGCGACGACGGCGACGTCCGCGGCGGCCGTCCGCGGCGACGGCGCGCAGGCGCGGGCCGCGGCGCCGGCGAGGCGCACGGACGGCCGCCGGCCGCCGCGCTCGACGAGCACGTCCGCGTCGCCGCGCGCCGCGTAGGCCGCCGCGGCGGCGCCGGCGAGCGCCACCGACGGCGAGCCGCGGTCGTCCGAGGCGGCGACGTCGCCCGGCGCGGCGCCGCCGCGGCCGGCGAGGTACCGGTCCGCGGCGTCGCCCGTGAGCGTCACCGTCGCCGCCGGCGCCGCGCCGACGGCGTCGGCGGCGTCGGCGGCGCCCGCGGCGCCCGCGGCGCCCGCGCCGTCCGCGAGCGCGGCGAGCGCGTCGACGCGGCGCTCGACGAGGTCGAGGCGCTCGGCCTGCGAGAGGCGCCGCCGGGGGCCCGACGCGGCGCCCAGCGACTTCTCGATGGCCTCGAGGTGGTCCTCGACGCCGACGGCGTGGTCCGCGGGCACGGGCGCGCCCGCGCGCGGCCGCGCGCCGCCGCCCGCGGCGGCGCCGCCCGCGGCGAAGAGGTCCATGGGGTGCTGGCCGGCGTCGGCGCCGCCGGGCAACAGCGACGACCGCCGGCCCCGGGGCAGGCGGCTCACGGACGCGGGCTCGGGCGACGACGGCGGCGGCGCCGCGCGCGCGGCCGCGGCCGCGCGCGCCGGCGGCGCCGGCCGCGGCGCGGGCGGCGCGCCGATGCGCGCGGCGATGGACTCGCGCCGGCCGCCGGCGGGCGCGGCGACCGGCGGCGTCCGCGGCGTCGGCAGGAACGACTCCGCGGCGGCCGGCGCGCGCGCGGCGCTCTCGGCCGCGGCGGCCGGCGCCGGCGTCGTCGGCGCCGGCGTCGTCGGCGCCGGCGTCGGCGGCGCCGGCGTCGGCGGCGCCCCGGCCCCGGGCCGGGCCCGCGCACAGACGACGCACTTGGCCCGGGACGCGGGGTTCGTCTTCTTGCAGCGGCCGCAGGTCCAGGAGGCGCCCGCGGCGGGCGCGGCGGGCGCGGCTTCGGCGCGCGCGGGCGCCGCGGCGCCGCGCGGCCGGCGGCAGACGACGCACGCGTCCTTCCTCGCGGAGTTCGACTTGCCGCACTTCTTGCACCGCCAGGGCCCCGCCGCGGCCGCCGCGGCGGGCGCGGCGACGGGCGCCGGGGCCGCGTCGTCCTCGGGCTCGTCGTCGGCCGGCCGCGGCGCTACGACGGTGATCGCGCGCGGCGGCCGCCGGGCCGCGCCGCCGTCGCGCGGCGCGTCGGAGGCCGGCGGCGCGTCGGAGGCCGGCGGCGCTGGCGCGTCGGGCGGCGCCTCGGCGGTCGGCGGCGCGTCCGGCGGCGCCTCGGCGGTCGGCGGCGCGTCGGAGGCCGCGACGGCGGGCGCGTCCGCCGGCGCGTCGGGGGCCGGCGCGTCGGATGCCGCCGGAGCGTCCGGCGCCTCGACCGGCGCCGCGTCCGGCGTCTCCGGCGGCGGCGGCGCCGCGAGCGCGACGGCGCGCGGGACCTCCGGC